AATATTATAAATTCATTGTTTCTTTTCCATGCACCTTTCTGGATATCCAGTTTATTAGTCACTGGGAGCCAAGAGTAGTTTTGAATGATAATGATATATTTATAAATAAAGTTTGATAGCTTTCAGTTATCTCAACTCATATTTTCTTGATGACAAGACATCCTTATTGCCATGCTTGTTTGTTTCACTAGAAATACCATGAGCAATTCATTATTCTTGTAATAATCTTCCAAATTTTATTCCCTCTGTCTGTTTTGTCAGTTTCTTTCTTAACCACAAGAATGCAGATAGTTTTACAAAGATAATTATGTTACTCAGCTGTTATTTCTAATGGCATAATGAGTTCTCTTTTGCTATATATGATTAAAATTTTAAAACACAAACTAGAAATGAACAAAAGATATTCTACTGTTCTCAGGCTAGTTTTTAAACATGAAGATTAGATTTTCTTTTGGAAGCCCCCTTTCTGAACTGCTGTATGTTTTTCTTACTGAAACTTGATTTTGTTATGTGTCTTGAATTCTTGAATTCATCTACAGCAGTTTTATATATATATATAATTTTAATTACTTCTGGTTGTTACTATTAAATTCTTACTTGAAAAACTGCAGAAAAAATTGCAAATGAAAATGATATGCTAAAAAATTACAAACAAAAACGAATAAAGCCACTGAAAATAGCATAGAAAAGAGAAGTAAATGCAAATAGCAGTGAGAGGATGTTACTCTTTCCTCTAAGAGAATATAGCTAGAAATAACTGTGTAACAAAATATCTGAAATATTGATGTCTAAAATGTAAAGTGTATATTATGTTTATTGTATTTAGATTATACTTTTTTTTTTTTTTTTAAATATAGGAAGAAGAGGGCTTATTCTTCCTCAGCACTTGGATAAAGTTGTAGGAGTTGTACTGAAAGCCTTAGTTTATGATGAACAGCGTGGTAACTTTTCAGTTGGCTCTCACATAAGAGATGCTGCATGTTATGTTTGTTGGTCTTTTGCTAGAGCTTATGATCCAAAAGTGCTGCAGCCATATGTAAATAGCATTGCTGGAGCTCTTTTAGTCACTACTGTATTTGATAGGTATCTTTCTGATATATATTATATTTCAAAGAATTTTTTTCTCTGAAAATATTATCAACATTACAGCTTATCTCTTCTAGTATAAACTCTAAGGACATTTTTTTAATAAATTTCATAATCTTTACCATGTGTTTATTTAAATTGGCATTTATTTCTAAATGTACCTCTTTACAGATTATCTTACTTAAATATTCATTTCTAAATGTATCTGTTTTTAAATTATTTAATTAATTAAATTTAAACATTTAAAGAAGAATGTAATTTCTTTCACTATATTATATTTTCATGTCAAAATAGTAATATTCTTCCGGTACTGTATATTTTCAGGTATAAAATTGTAGTTTCTAAAAAAAAATTAAACAAAATTCTTAAAAAAAAATATTAATTCTTACTGCTCTCATATACAAGTATATATGTGTAAGTTACTATTTAATTAATTGGTTTGAAAAGAGATTAAGGTTGTAAAATAGGTTCTGTCTATTAGTCTATCATAATTCTACTTAACCCAATTAATCAATTTGTGACACTCATAATTCTACCTAACCCAATCAATCAATTTGTCACAGTAATTGCTTATTGGCGTAAACTATAAAATAGTTGAAGGAAAACATTTGGGATTCATTTTGAAAATTATTTTGATTATTAAAAATGTATTTATTTGCATATGCTACCATTTGCCATGTATGAAAATGTTGTTTTTACGTTTACATGTATGAAAATGTTGTTTTTACGTTACATTGCCATGTATGAAAATGTTGTTTTTACGTTTAACGTAAATGATTACGTTTTCAGGAAGAAATATACTATCACACAATATTAATACTCTTATCACTCTAACTCTAGATGGAGGTAATGGTGCTATGACTTGTTGCATTGGTCGGGAGTTATAACGCTGACACAGTACACAGTTTCTTATAACACTTTTCACATTTTGTCTGGATCTAATTATCCAGTATTTTTTATGGAGGAACATGAGAGTACTAGCTATACCTGTATGAAGAACTCGTTCATGTGCATTACATACCAAGAAGATCTGTAAAATGAGTTTTTGAAGGAATAATTTTAAGATGCTGTTCATGAAAATTTGTTGATTTTTGTAGTCTTCCTCCTACTAATACAACTTCTTCCTCACTTAGAAAAGGATTCAGTTCATAAATTTTTGAGTTTTTACATTCTTTAAACTATTTCATCAGAAAAATGTTCATATTGAACTTCTTTTATCAAATATAATTCTGCAGCAAAGAGTTCTCCTGCAATCAAGAGTCCTGTTTTCTTGTCAATTTTATTTTTCAGATTGTGAATAAATCTAAATATCCATGCAGTCACTGTAATAACTCTAATTTTACTATAATTTTTAAGATTCAACAGAGGATTAGATTTTTCTGCAATAGACGGTAGTATTGTGGTGTCATTTATACACTTTTTCCGCTCTAATTCAGCATCAGAGAACTCCGTTGTCTCAATAAATTTACTAGGCCAAGCACTCGTTGATTCAAATAACCAGTCTTGTCCAGAGTGCCATAATTTTGAAGACAACAAATATTCCGCTGAACATCCTTGAGATAAAATGTCCGCTGGATTGGACTTCTCATTACAATATCTCCAGTTATTTGGGCAAGTTAATGATTGTATTTAAGATACTCAATTTTTTACAAAAATTGTCCATCGTTCAGGAGCACTATGAATCCACTGAACCACTATCATACTGTCAGTCCACAGATAGATATTTTCTTCATGAACTGAAAACAGCTCTTTTGAATTTTTAGCAAGTCTTGCCGATGTTAATGCTCCTAACAACTCTAGCGTTGGAAGTATGAGTTCTTGTTTTATTTGTACAATTCTAGATTTTGCCATAATGAATGCTACCTGCCCTTCTTCAACCGATCTAAAATATGCAACTGCACCGTATGCTTTAATAGATGCATCACAAAATAAATGCAGTTCAGTATCTGTATTTTGCTTCAATTTGCCAGAGAAATATTCTCGAGAAATTTCAAAGTTCTTTAATTTTTCGATTTCACCACTTCACTTTGACCACAACTGCTTACATTCAGTTGGAACTTCGTCGTCAAATTCTAAACTCAACTGCAAAAGGTCTTGCATTATCAATCTTGCATGTAATACAAATAGCGCTAGGAAACCTACTGGATCGAAAATAATTGCAGTCACCTTTAATATATTTCTTTTTGGGGTGTTTGTACAGCTATTTAATGTTTCATACAAGTTGTCTATGTTCAAGGAAATTACCTCTTTACTCGTACACCAGTTAAGCCCTAATATTTTTAAGGAGCTATTTAGTTCATTTCCTGACTTAATTATTCCACAATCATCCCAAAGTTTATTGAGTTCCTCTGAATTTGTACTAAACTGACGCAAATTCATTTTGGCATCTTAAAGTACGTAATAGGCTCCAGTACTTAACTTAAAAGCCTGTTCCACAGAATCTGCCCCATAGAAAACATCATCTACGTAAATCGAACAATTCAACATCTCAAAAATATCTGGATTTTCTAACTCTATTTTCTTTATATGTTTTTTATATATATATGCCATATATATGCCAAAAATGAAAGGGCTATATGACACACCGAAAGGAATGCGAGTCATTCTATAATTTTTAAATTGTTATTATTATTAAAGTATAAAAACCGTAAAACATCTCTATCAATTTCATAAATTCTAATCTGGAGAAAGGCCTTTTCACTGCTGAGAATGCATGTTTGTATTGTCTGAACCACAATATGAAGTCCCAAACAGAAGGATTCAAATTTGGGCAAGCCATCACACAATTGTTCAGAGATACCCCATTGTTACACTTCAAAGATGCGTCAAACATGATACGGACTTTAGTTTTTGATACATTTTTTCTTACCACAGGAGAATGTGGCATGTAATACATTTTACTACTGTCACAACTTTCAATTTTGCACTCTTTAATTATTTCATTTTTTAGTTGTTAGTTTATTATGCTATCATAATTTTCCCTAAGCCATTCATCATTTTTTAGTTTATTAACCAAAGATATTAGATGTCACTTGGCATTTTCTACATTATTACCCAAGTTTTCATGATGTAATTTCCATAACAAACAAGCTACATATCTACCATTAGTAAAATGCAGTTCTTTTTCAAATTTCTCAATGACTGATTTATCATCAGGATTCTCCTTCTCCTCTAAACCCAAGTGTCCAAAACCTCCACAAACAGTCATTAACTGAATTATTATCTTCCTTCAAGCTGTGAGAAGCACCAGTTGTAAACATACAGCTGCACTTTGCACCCTACAAAGATCCAACCAAGGACCAATCAGATATAAAAAGAAACTGCAAATAATGTGTTGCGTACTCTTTTCTTTTCTTCTGTTTGCACTTCCTAACATGAATCAGGTCCTAACAATATTTTTATTTCAGATGCTTCACCACTGTTGGCTAATTTTAAATTTTCTGATTTTAATATTTCTGAAATGTTTTTCGAGGGAATTTTTATGATCACTCCAGAAATAGTGTCTGTAACTAGAGCTTCAACAGTGATTGAGTCATTAGGGCAATGCATACTTTTCAGGGTAATTTGAATGACATTATATTCCATTAGTCTACCCTGGATGTACCCAAAAGAATAAATATATAACCTTTCTTTCTTAAAATCCTTAATTTAGTTCTTTAGGAAATTCAGATAATAAATGACCTCTGTGATCCACCATAATTAAGATTTTTACCTATTTGGCTTCTATCTTATCTGTATCTGAATCCTAAACAGTGCAAAGTTTCTAAATATACACTTTTCAGCAATTTCAGAAACACAACGTAGAGTTAACGACCGGGATGCAACTACATCTGTTAGAATCTGATACTGTAACTACTTTCTGTTTCCATCTGAACTGGCTTCGGAACGTATTTACAAAATAATATTATGATTTGAACATACAAACTCACAGGTGAGGTTTCACTTTACATCTGGACGTTTAAGACTTTCTTAAAACATCTGTAATAACGTCATGGTTCTTTATATTGCTCTTTTTGTCATTTTTCACATTTTCCTACATCATGTGTATTTTGATTAAATAGAAAACAGTGGTTAGTCACGTAGCTAACACCGAAGCAGTAGGAATGCTTACCCCTTATTCTGTAATTATTTTTATTCTGCTTAACACCATAATTTGTCCCTTTTCTTTGAGTTTATTATTAAATTAGAAGCTTCCTGACTCTCAACTTCCAGTCTAATGAATTCGAGAAGTTCTGTTAGGCTATATTTCTGTTTAGAGTTTCTTTTTCTATTAAACTCCAGATTCATATCATCTGGTAAAAGCTTCAAAATAACAGGTCCTAAAAGACTTCCATAAACTTCCGACGCAATACCCAATGAATTTAAACTTCTTATATTGATTTCACAGGAATTGTAAAGTGTTCTTAGTGCTTTCACATTGGACGAACTTCTAATTGGTTCAAGATTCAAGAGTTTGTTCATGTGCGACGATATAACTAAATCTGTTCGTTCAAATCTTTCTTTAATTAAACTTATAGAAGCATCATAATTCTCATTGGATAGTGCAAACCCAGGTACTGCTCTTAAAGCAGGTCCTGAGTAAGGATTTAAGATAGGTAAACTTCCCGACCTTTGTTAACTCATTATTATTACCAATAGCATTTTCAGATAAATGCTATTGGTAATAATAATGTTCTATAAAATTCTAAAAATAAATTAGGATCACAATAATATTTAGGAATTGAAATTTTAGGTAACCGAATGTTAAGTTTTGTTTTCAACCTTTACGGCAGCAGTATGTTTACCAGGCAATTCACTGTTCACTATCGGAGAATTTAATTAAGTTTGTTTTTAGCCCTAAAAATACATAAACTCATTTTTTCATCATACTTAATACAGTATTACGTTCTTTTTCAATTTTTAACTCATTCCCTTTAAAACAATCCAATATTTTTTAATTTCTTTCAATGCAGACTGTTTAGAAGTAAGTAAAAACACATTTTCTTCTACCATATTCTTATCCCAAATGTCTTTTTAATTTCAGGTTCTAAAACATTTATTATTTTAGAAATACCGTAATTTCCGGAAGAAAGGCCGCATCAGCGTAAACGCCGCAATAGATTAAATGCGCGTTACATCGACGTGGGCGTATAGATGCAAAAACTCAACCTAAGGCTGATAATATGGCATACCATCTCCCTTCGGGAATAGTTTTTCGTTTAAAAAATGATCATTGGCTTTAGCTTGTCCCGTTTCGGCACAAGCTAACGCAGTAAATGACGTTCTTTCACCCCCTCATAAACTAGATACAGTTTTTGCACCAGTTTCATCACAGTTTCTGCGGAGAGTCGAAGCTAACGGCGTTTCATCCATATTATTTATATGCGACCGAAGAAGTTTTTTTTTGTCAATAAAGCTGTCACATATTTAGAAAAGATGACTTTTATATGCCAGTCATTGGTATGTTGCCGACTGTTGTTCTAGTATGCACAGAAATATTTTTTTTTTTATAAATCTGCTCACTCCTTTTCAAATCATTTATGTTCATTCGTTTTGCTTAATTTTGCTTGTAAGTGAATTTTAGTCGAAATGCCATTCCCTTTCCTCATTGCTCCTTCCAGTTTGCAAGGTCGTCCTCTAAGATTGGCCACCTTACAGTACCCACTCTTTTGGCTCGTTCTGTGTGGCATATTTTTAAGAATTCTTTTTCAGTTCTCCAACGTCGAATACATCTGTCGTCCACTTCAACTCTCGAGCTGCTGCTCAATTTCCAATTTGTTCAGCATGTGAAATTACATCAAGCTTAAACCAGCAGTATAGCTTCTGTGCTGTTTAAGGACATTTTCAAAAATCTTCCGATCCCTTTTTGCTTAAAAATAAACAAGTATTGTACCCAAACTGATGGGATCTGTATCTGGTAGAATGCCAAGAAAAATCATTCATGTGCAGGAAATACGTCAGAGTTCGTTATTGTTGAGGCAGTGGAGTCGTGTCGCCTTGAAAAAAAATTGCAGAGAAAAGGCAGGGGGTGGGAGAGAATGGATCTTGGAAGATTCTCGAATGGCAGAGGAGAGAGACTTTCGAACTGATGGAATGTGATTTGAAAAGGGGGAAGAATGTTATTGTTCTGAGGATCTCGTTAGGGTGAATAAGGCAGTAGGTCCGTTCAAGGGAAAGAATGAAACAAAATAACGTTCGCAAAAAGCAACTGAGTGGTCTTTTGTGTGGGAACAGCACAGTCTATGCACAATGACAAGGCCATCCAACTATGATAATGACATATAGGAAATATTTTATTTTTAGTGCACCTAAAGCCGCATGGGTAGAAACGCCGCACCACTGAAAATTTAAGTTTTAAACACGTAAACGTCGCAGCGTTTCTTCCGGAAATTACGGTAACTTGTTCGAAAGTTTTCCTAGCAGCTTTTAATTTAACAATATCGTCTGCCATAATAACAAAAATTCAATTCTTCTCTTACCTGGTCCAAGGGTTCAAATGGTTTAATTCTAATTTAGTAACTCACTATCCAAGGGAAAACCCATTCATAAACATTCTGAATGTTTATCCTGCCACGTTCAATGCAAAGGAATAATTTTTCAACAACACGAAAAAACACTGCATTCTTAAATCAAAAAACTGTTGGGCGCCATAATTGTAAAATAATATATAATATATAATATAAATATTAGAACCGAAAAGATTTCATGTTATCTTGGCACTCAAGAAACATTATTTAATTCAAATCACCAAGGTAAATGAACATTTGAGTCAGGTTTCAAACCTGAGGTTTTCAAGTTTATTCAAGTCTGACACACATTCAACTGGCACTGCCTGATCCAAGAACAAGAAGTATACATCATGAAAGATTTACGCCTTCTTTGGCAATTAAAATATATTTCCACATAAAATTTCTTACATGTAAGTTTAATTATTTGGAGAAGTTTAAGCAGTCTTGATGAATTTTTGAAAATGTTAAACAGGTGCATGTTTAGCACACTTTGATGTATATTTTAGTAATACAAGTTTTAAAGTCACCCAAGTCAGGTTCAAACATGAGAAAAATCTGTCAATTGCCAATGTTGGAATATCATTCGTTTGTAAATGCTGATAGGTTAATGATAGAAAATCATTATTATTATACCTCTCGAAATGCTTCATGATATTTGGTGAACAGAAATGCTTTCAGTATAAGTAAAGCAATCAAATGTGTGTGATATTAGTAATATATTACTATATGATATAAGCTGAATCTGTTTTTAATTCTGTCCAAGTAAGACAGGAATATTTGAAATGGATATAATTTATAATGTAATATAAAATAATCAGCAATCTAAAAGAAATACATTTTCTTATCTTTTTTTAATTGTCATAACTGAAAATATGAATAATTAATTGTGTGTAATTAATTAGTTGTAGCAAATTAATATATTTCTTCAAAATAAAATAAAATTTATTGCTTGATTAGAGATACTAAAAGCAATTTTTCATATTGTAGTGTAGTATTTCATTTTAAAATACATTACAAATTTGACATAAATCGCATTGCAGTTTTATTTTTATTTGCAATTTTATAATTACAGAGAAATTACATGTCGAAGAGCAGCTTCCGCTGCATTTCAAGAAAATGTAGGCAGGCAAGGAACATTTCCTCATGGCATTGAAATTCTTACTGAAACAGATTATTATGCTGTTGGTTCTCGTCAGAATTCTTTTTTAAATTTAAGGTGACTAAGTTTGTTATTATAATTATTGATATTTGTATGATTTGTATTTTTAATTTTGCATCTAATATGTGTGATGTTTATAATTTTTTAATCAAAAGATCATATATTGAATCACCCCAATCAGTTCAGTATTTGTTTCAGAGAAGTTAATTATAATATGAGTTTTATACTTACCTTAAACAATTATTTCTTAACAGTGAGAAATATTTTTTTAATTTCAATAATTGTTTAACTGAAATGAAACGTAACAAACATACTGGTTCTGGATAATTAGCTACTGATAAAACTAAGAAATAATGTTCATTATGTGTATAATAATGATAATAATAAAGACCAGTAAAGAACTGTTTATTAAGTAAGTCCTTGTTGAAGGAAGAAAATTTAAAATATATATTTTTTTATTATTATTTGAATTTATTACATGCAGTTCTCTATTTTTCTGCATAATTTCCGTATCGGTTTTATTTTTCATAACTAATAACAAGTTTTGGAATATTTTCCTCACAAAGCTCTTGCTGCTACCTGTTATGATAGCTAGTTATTCATGATTGTTTTCCCTTTTCAATCGGTGGTTTTTATTTCTCCATGTCATTTGCACAAAGTTTTTGTGAATTGAGTCTGAACTGCCTACACCAGATTGTTAGTGATTTCCTAAACTGTCTAAGTTTGTTTCATAATTTGCATTATACAAATTTAAGTGAAGTGGGATTCTCCTGTCATTATTTTTTAAGTAAGATATTAGATAACTTAATTTAAAAACTGATCAAATATGAGAGAGGAAATGTATATCTTTCATTTTTTTCTTCAATTATTTGCAATTAGAAAAAATGGATAATTTTGTATGGATAATTATGTAAGGATAATTATGTACAATGATTTTTAAAATATTGTGAAATGTTTCTCTAACATTATTTTCTCCTTTTTTATTTATAATTTCAAGATGATTGTACTTTTTTACTTTGAATTTTGTTTAGTTATGTTGCAGTGAAGTTTATATTACTGTTTTTACTATGATTGAGATTTTTTTTTTTCCATTTACAGTGTCTATATTGCTCAGTTTCCTGAATATACACTTACCCTAATACAGCATTTATTAGATTACAAAGTTAATCATTGGGATCCATCTGTTAGAGAGCTCACTGCTAAGGCTCTTCACAATCTGACTAATAGAGATCCTGAATTCATGTCGAAAGCAGCTGTTCCTAGGTTTCTTATCCAGGCCATAGGCATTGATCTTAATGCTCGACATGGAGCAATATTAGCTATTGGTGAAATTATCCATGCTTTGTCTGTTGAAAAAAGTGGCACACAAACAATTGCTGATATATTAGGTTTGTTTTTGTTTTCTAATTTGTTATATATGAATTTAATTACATTCTCTTTATAGATTTTATCATAAATAAACTACATAACCTTTAAAAAATATTTTACTAATTTATATGTGAACGAAAACTGAATAAGCCAAAGGAAAATATCAAATTTCTTTGATTCTGAATCACACTCTTTTTCCTTTGTGCAATATTAGAAAGTCTTTTTCAGATTAAAAAAAAAAAAAAAAAAAAAAAAAAAAACAAAAAAAAAAAAAAAAAAAAAAAAAAAAAAAAAAAAAAAAAAAAAAAAAAAAAAAAAAAAAAAAAAAAAAAAAAAAAAAAAAAAAAAAAAAAAAAAAAAAAAAAAAAAAAAAAAAACTTTCAATACAGGGAAGTCACTTTTTTCTTTAAAAAGGAAGTACATGCTACTGTTATTTATATGGGTAATAATTTATTTCATGAAATTTTCTTCCTTTTTCAGTAAAGCCACTGAAACAATTTATAAGAACATGATATAAATGCTGGAAGAAATTCTTTATTAATATATAAAAGCAAAAAATTGTGGATGTGTTTTTTATTGATTCATTGAAGTGCCATTTTATGGGTAGACTAAAAACATTTGGTAATTTTAGCATTTTGATGCCCAAGTTATTTATGTTTAATCATACTGCAATTCTAATGGCTTCTTTATGACAACAAAAGAAGACGCTTATGACGTTAAGGTCAGACTCCCAGATTCTTTATTTCGATTTTTGGTAACAAGGGGTAAATCATCCGTTACTGATACCTTAGTGGGCAGATTTATTGTCCTGCTTCTTTAAAAACCACTCTTGTCTCAAGTTTGTCTCAGTTTTCAAGAATTAAACATTCTTGTGCAAATTTTTTGTTTGATACTTGCAGTATATCTATTTCACTTTGAAATGTTAATGTTTGTCAAATCTTGACATTTTTCTATACTATATTGTTTTCATTTGATTGCTGTTCATGATTTTATTTATGGTTGTTTAGTGATCATTAGATTTAGCATTTAACATGTATTCATTTGATGGCCTTCGATCTGCCCATCTCTTCCCTATTTGCATTTTGTTTTCAACTTTAATTTCATCAAATTTCTTTCTATATGATGTGAAGCAGTCAGATGATGCACTTAATAAAAGGTAAAATTGAAATCCAGAATTGCTTTAAAATGCTTATTTTTAAAATGTTGATTGTAGTTTAAAAAAAAATTAATATTATGTGAATGCATAACATTTAAAAAAAATCTCTTTTACTTAGGCTAAAAATATAAAGCAATGTACCTCGTATATTAAATTCAAGCAGAAGAATTTAAAATTATTCAAATCATATGTGTATATGCTCTGAAAATTATATTACGCTTTGACTATAATTTGAGTAATCTGAATTGCATCATTATCATGTGCTTATTTACTGTGCTTTTGTAGAGAAACATGTATGTGTTTTTATGTTAATATATTTGACTAAAAATATGAATCATTATTTGACTATGATTTGTATAAATAGGTTCAGAGTGTCTTAAAAAAATCAGGCAACTTGCATTTATCTTGGATGAAAGGGGTTTATTCCGTGGCCTTGGGGGTATTCTTATGAGAAATGCAATGTGTCTTCTCATTGAAAAGTCATCTGTGGCTGCTTTGCCATATCACAATGATGAAGAACTAATTAGTGAGTTATAATGCACTTTATAATCTCTCTAAATATTGCTGTTGACTTTTTAATTAATTCTATGTTATTGATTTTTTTAAATTTGTGTATCTGTTAACTGAAATGTACATTACAGTACAAAATCCCAAATCAGACTCATCGGGACTTCGGCGATTCCGGATTTGGGATTATTCCGGATATTAGATCATTAGTTTAAATCTAGTAAAATGGCACATAGAAATTATAAAATTAAAAATATGAAAATTGTGATTTATGAACTAAAGAAGCATTTATGATCTAAAGGGTATCAAAATTTACAAAAAAAAAGCAATATTTATTTGTTTATTTCATTAAAAATTTTTTTCAATGCAAGTTGTTTAAGTTGCTTCGTTTATGTGCTAATACTTTCTCTTTAATTCCATAGAAAGACATAATTTCTTGTTGTCACATTGTTGCATTGTTGAAGTCCTGTATTTGCTGTGTGAATTCCAGCTTGTCAATCAAATTTTTTTTTTGTTTTCAGTAACCTCTCTGTCACTTTCTTCACTATTGGTAGCGGGTATTGTCTGGATCTAGAACCATGCTACAGATTTTGCCATCCATTAATTGATTGACAATTGAGGAACATTGTTTTGACAATGAAAAACAAACTTTTATATCATCTCCATTTATTACCGCTTCTCCACACTTCTTTACAAAATCCATTAATTGGATTTGTTTTGCGATATCCAAAATCCTTAAAATTAGCAGCTATCATCATCAAATTAGCTATCTTCACATACATATTTGGCTATGCATCATGTGCTGGCAAACTAACAGAAGTTGTTCCATTAAATTTATCTTTCTTCATCGCCGCCGAGACAATTAAGCATTGTATTAGTTTATTATTATATACTCATGTCTATTTCTTGCACATGCTTAAGGCTTATCAGAGTTCTGAATAAATAAATTCCCACATATACTTAAGCTGAATTGAGCGCCGGCACTAGATATCTTATCGCCTGATGCATTCTACGACTCTGTGCGGCCATACAAGCCCTGGCACTGGTTCTGGGTTTATGTGAATAACAAATCAGTTATTCTTAATTCAAGTAACCCTAAATGTAATCGCTTTGGATCTATGAGTATCATAAACAAAATCTATTTTTAGCATATGGAGAAAATTTTTTGGTAAATTTTTTCTCGTCAACATTTTTTAGCACATTTAACTTAAATCTGTAATCATCGCCAAGCGTAATGTCAACATAAAAGGTTACCATACTCCTTTATTATTCAATTTCTAGCATAAACAAATTGTTTAGGCATTGCTACATGAGTCATTACTCAAGTTGTCATGTTTTGATAAACATGCGGTGATGAAAGTATAATAAATAATGATTCGCTAGGTTGGCGTCAGATCAACGATGTATCTATGTGGAATGTTTTGGTTTGAGAGGCATGCCAAGCAGATACGCAGCAACGGAGCCAAATTATTGATCATACAAATTTATGCTAAAAGGGTTGTTTCTTCAATAACAAGGTATTTAGTTTTGAAGTGAAATTAAGAATCGGAACTCTACAGATGTTTCATCTGGAGGGGGAAATCAAATGTGCATGCATAAAGCCTACAAAAGAAATGTTGTTGGTGGTTATGAGGTTCAGATTCGAGATAATTCTGGATAATGGACGTCTGGATTTCGGACATTGTACTGTATTAACCCCTTCCTTCTCGTTCCCGTCAAAATGACGGGTTGAGGTTTCGCCCTCTATTTCTTGTGCCCGTGATTTTTCCGGGCTGGAGAATTCAAAAGCAACATGCTAAAAGGATTAAAACCTATTCATTTCTTTTGCCCGGAAAAACAATTATTTCTCAGTTTACATACCAGGTGGCAGTACCAGAATAATATTTTATGCAATTTGTGATAGTTAGTTTATTTAGTTTATTTTAAACTATGTCAGCACTAATCAAATGTGCATTTATGCTATGTGTTTTGTAATTTTATCGTTAGCTCAGTCACTTAGTTATTATCATCGTGAATGCACATGGTTTCTGTTCTGTGATAAAATATACTTATATTTTTATTCTGTACATTATGGAGTCAGATAACGAATTGGATTCTGATTTTAATATAAATGGATCTGAAAGTCATTCTGAAGTAACTGATTTTTATGAAAGTTCAGTTAGTGAATCCGAGAACAGTGCCTGTAATTTGTTTATCTGTAATTTTGCCTGGATGAGCATGGACTAAAATTGTATTACTTCAGCAGATCATGCACCCCCACGTTTTAAATTTTGGGGAACACCAAAGGTAAATATAAATTTTGATCCAAGCTCTGGTGTCTTACAATATTTTAAGTATTTTGTGAATGACAATTTATTGGATCTCATCGTTTCTGAAACAAATAGATATGCCAAACAATGCAAAAATTCTCAAGGATTCCACCTATCTAAAAATAGAAAACCTTGGATACCTGTCACAAAGGAAGAAATTCTTAAATTTCTCAGTATAGGTTTTACAAGCTATTGTATTATAAAAAAAAAAAAAAAAAAATGCGAAACTGTATTGGAGCAAAAAAACATTCAATTTCGACACCTTTTTTCAGAAGCATAATGCCTTGTAATAGATTTTACGAATTACACAAGTTTCTGCATTTTGTAGATAATGAAGCTTTTTATTGTAACACACATCCGAATCCCCAGCTGCATAAAATCTGGCCAGTATTACAACACCTGAATGAATTGCTTCAAAGAGCCATAACTCCTTAACATATTGTAATTGATGAAACCCTCATGCTTTTCAAAGGTCGTTTAGGATGCGACAATATATGCCGAAAAAGAGATCACGTTTTGTAAAATCATATTTGTTATGTGAATCAAGTTCAGGGTATATATGGTCACAAATTATATATACTGGAAAAGGCACAGTTTTTGATGCAAAATATAAAGGTCTGCCCCCAATCAATTCAAGTTGTGATGTCACTTATCAAGCCTGTGCTAAAATAAGGATATTTTCTGATAACAGACAATTTTTATGCCTCACCAGAATTCGCAGATATGCTTTTAAAATTTCAAACACACACTTATGGAACTGTAAAACTAAACTGAAAAGAAATGCCTCAAGAATTAGTAAAAAAGATAATCGCAAAAGATGAAAATATTGCTTTTCGTTGAGATAAAGTTGTTGCCATGAAGTGGAAAGATAAGAAAGATGTTACCATGCTATCTACAGTTCACACAAATGACATGGTAGATGTACAGTGCCATAACAAAGTTGTCAAAAAACCTATATTTGTCACAGATTACAATAAAAATACAGGAGCGGTAGATATTGTAGACCAGTATTTTGGAGATTACTCTATTGCTCGAAAAAAAGGAAAGAAATATTATAAGAAAATATTTTTTCATTTGTTAAACCAAAGTATTTAGAACTCGTATCTTATTTACAAAAAACAGGGCAGGAAAAAAATCCCATTTGATGTTTCGTTTATCTGTAATAGATGAATTTATTGAAATGTATCAATCATCAGACACCATTTCAAAAAGAGGCCGGACAAACTTGGAGAATAATCCAAATCGTTTGATTGAAAGGCATTGTATTAGACAGATACCCCAACTGATAAGAAAGGGCAACCATCAAAAGAATGCAATGTTTGTTGTTCCAGAAGAGATGCAAACAATAAGAGATGTAGGAAAGAAGCTCGGTACTACTGTCCAGATTGTGACATTGGCCTTTGCATCTCATCCTTTGAGATTTATCACGCAAGAAAAAATTACTAAGCTTTGTTTATATTATGCGTAAGTTTTATAAAATTCTCTTTTAATTTTTAAAACACATATTTCTGAATGAAATTTTCCTGCCTTACTGGAAAACCAACATTCAGTCAAAATACACCTGAATGTTGGCTTTTCCTAAAAATTTATATCTTAAAAATTTCAAGCTAAAAAAAATCTAAAAATTGAAAATGAATGCATATATTGTATATACATTTATTTCTATGCAATTTTCTTCAATTAAAAAAATAGGCACTTTTATGACCATTTTCTTGAAAATTATCTGATCGTTAAGGGGTTAAGGATCGTAAGTGAACATTTCGTTGATGCATAAAAGCAAGATTGTATATGTAATTGTTTTTAGATGATTTTGTTTTGCTGCCTAAAAACTGCAACTATATTTTTTAAAGTATAAATTATCGTCTGCTACTTGACAGTTTTGTTTTCATGCATAATGTTGGTTTTAAAGAAACATGGGTCTATGTTTGTGTTCTTCCCAAAGAAAATTATTCGTATCTAGTTATTAAAAAACAACATGGTAAAAGTCATGGTTTTTTTATATCTAAAGCTACGATAACATTGTCAACAACAAAGGGAAAAAAAGCATTAAAGTTTAGCTTCACATGGAAAAATTGTTCCAAATATGTATCCAAAGAAAAACTGGATTGTTGCAAAAGTAAGATGTTTATTGTTAAAAGAAAATCCACCAACTCAAAGGTCAGTTGCAAAATCATTAAAATGCTCTGTGTCAACTGTAAATAAAGTGATTAATGCTGATTTGAATCTTAAAAAGGTAAAAAAACCTAATGTGCATCGTCTTTCTCTACAACATATCACCAAACACAGAAAGCACTGCAGAATTCTGTATGAGAAATATTTATCTAGACAAAAATGGAAAAATGTTATCCCAGTAGATGATCTTGGGTACCTAAATGACTGCAATAAAAAGAGATGCATTTATTATCATCAAAGAGGGGGAAAAGATCTTAAAAAATGGTTTAAGGGGAATCTAAAGAAAGTTTTCCAGTGGGATTTATGATTGTTACTAGTTTTTCATATAATGGTAAATTAAAAATAAAGGGATAGAGAAACATGTTAAGATCAACTCTACATATTATCAAAAACATATTTTATATCCAGTGTTCAAGTATAATGTACCTGTTCTTTACGAACAGTGGAACTACGTCCAGACAAAGCAAGCAGTGATACGTCAAAATCTACTGTTTCCTGGTGTGTGTGTGTGGGGGTGGGAATTAAAACAAAAAAAGTG